TAACTGCACTTAACTCGTCAAATACTGGAGTTAGAAGAAAAATGCGTAGAACCTTTCTTGTAGAGGATGTCAGTGCCTACAACTTCTGTATAAAAAACTTTTCGCCAGCGTCAATAATTAATTGGATATTTCCTTCTATACTTTTTAGCACGTAGCTATTTATTATTAGCATTGTTCTTCCGACGTCTGATTTCTTTTTAAATATAGGAAATGCGTTTTTCTAAGATACATAAACTTTTGGGATTGACTGTATAGCCAATACATCTTTAAGGTACATTGCAAGGTCTTCTGATACTTATTTCATTCACAACCATTGGAACTCTTTGTAATAAAATTGCTTAAAATTGGAAACATAGTAACTACGACTTCGCACATTTTACTTTATTAAATATTGGCATAATTATAGTAGTTCTAAACAGTCCTTTAGAATGTCTGAGAATTTTTTCAGAATTTTCGACAGGCAGTAATTGGAGAAGAAAAATACAGATCTTAGACACTTGTACAAACATATCGCATCCTGATGGTCGGTCTCTGTCAATTTTTTAAAAATAATCTGTTCGTGATAGAAACGTAAAAAAATTTCCTGAATTATATACAATCTAATAGAATACGTGAGAATATTTTCTGAACTTTTCACACACAGCAATCAGAAAAAAAAATACCACACTATTTTCATACAATGCGATTCTTCCTAACAACGTGGCAAATAATAAAACACAGGAATTACCTAATTTAAGATTTAAATCTGCTGTAGTCGAGCATTAGATTGTTTTCTTCATCGTTACTGTCTTCTTATATTTCATAATTGTTTTGTTTTGTTTTTGGAATATGATTTTCGACAATTCAGACAGTGACTAATAAATCAAGATCGTAAAAGTATTTTTCAATATAAGAAATCATCTCGTAGAAAACAAAATACAGGAAATATGTATAATTACATTTTTATTAAATTTTAATGAGATAAGAGAATTTTCACATACATTAATAAGGTTTTTTTTAATTAACTTCGTCTATATGCTATTTATTTTTTAAATACTGTCTTATATAATAAAACATTAAAAATAACATGTTATGTTAAATTATGCGCCTTATACGAGAAGAAAGACTGCATTATGTATATTATATATGTACATTTCATTTATTTTTGATTATCCTAAGATTCTCAGGCCTGTCCTAACATTCATGAAAAATCGTTACGGACTCTGCGGACAATTGAATAAAAATATAAAAGACTGAAGCCTTCGTGACATTTTTTTTATAGTGTTTGCTGAATATTTCGCAATATATCGTTATCGTTATACGCACTATTTCGTTATCACGTTACCCGTTGTTGTATCTTTGCGATAAAATATCAACCTCGCGCAGAATTGAACCGAGGTTGACTCTAAATGATTGTTCGATCAATTTTAAGGATATGACTACACCGTTTGCAATATTTTAGCGGATGTGGAACGGCGGAATAAGCAACGTTGGCGGAAGTCGAGGAAGAGGCGGAAGCGTGGACCGTGGAGGGCGCGGAAGGAACGGGAGAGGCGGCTTGTTCTCCTCCCATTATTCCCGAGGTGTCGGCTTCGATGATTCCGGGGATGGCTCACGAATCGACAGTCAGCCGTTCCCAGTACGTAAACCCTCGCTTCGTGGGACGCCTTTTAACTCTTTGAGTGCTGAATATTCTCTACTGATGCGCTGCTAGCCCTAGCTCCGCTGTGGACGAAATACTTTTGCGTGGACAAACAGATAGCTGTTATAATGAACCAGCATTTCTTTTTGTTTACTGCTATTGCTAGGGAACACAGATTTATCTCGTATAAAGTAAATTATAATATTACTACACCGGAGATCGACAAAATTGACAAACGCATATATGCGCTTTTAGTTTATGATGGTAACTTCTACGAAATACATATTCGTACTCGTAGTTCATACTAACGATGGTTAGAACTGTTACTTTTTAATTACTGGTGATCAGATCACGTTTATTACACTTTATATAGAATTTGCACTTGCAATTTTAATTCTTATGGGGATCTGCATTGGAAATAAGGGGACTTACCAGTGTGACCGCCTAAAATTTAGGTCATTTTTGGGATTTTTTGTAAGAAAAGTATTCTATGGAATTTTTTTAAACTTTATGCATGTATTTGCCTATAAATGAATTGGGTAAAACAATTTTTTCGTACAAAAATAACTAAAGGCGGCCAAATTATGTACTAAAAAGTGCCTCAATTGCTGACATCATACAGTTCGCTAGGGTGCCTGAAATGAAAAAAGACAAAGACGCTCTTAAACTAGACATGCTTAATTGTTGAATGACGTAGGATA